CTCATCCTCCCCGTGCAGCAGTCGGTGTCGCAGGCCAACAGCAGCATGATGGCGTAGGCTCGAGCAGGCAGGCAGTTTGAAGAAGGGTGCATGCATGTGCATGCTGACAGCTCAGCTCGAGCTGCGGTCGACTGCAGATCTGCACGAGCTGGGGCGCGGCTCGGGACGTGAAACAGACAAGGATGAATACACTGCTGGGATGGAGGTGACATGCGTGAGGGGACGGATCACTGCCAGATAAAGGGTCACTAGGTTCACGTTGGGCTGGTGCAGCGTCGTTATGGCGCGCGTCGCCAGCGCGCGGAGTGCATTGATTCGGTTGCAACCGACAATAAAGAAACAATATCCAAGAGACTGTCCGCGTTGAGCGAGATGAGGCTGAGGATCGAGGATGGAAGGGGGGGGGCGAGGATGGAGACGTCATGGTCAAGACATGGGAAGTGTGCCTGCGAAGCTCGGGGTTTACGCCACGTATGCTACACCGCGCAGCTTGCACCGCACATGTGTGCACCACGTAGACTACACCACACAGCGTGCACCACAGATATTGCATCACAGAGCTTGCAACACACAGCATGCACAGCGTAGTTTGCACCACGTGGTTTGCACATCCAGATTCCACTAACTCACTGTTTGGGGCCCACGCTGGCAGGCATGCGACTTAAGCTGCACGTGCCACCAGCCCGCGCAGAATCGGTTCGATTGTCTATCTGGCATACGTTCTATATTGGCGCAGGGAGGGGTGGACGTGCTCGTGGCATCGATGATGGAGCTACGAGGCAAGCTTGCATGCTATCGAGGAAGGGCCCCCCTGTCTCATGTGTCCTGGTGACATGAAAATGTTCCGCACGCTGCCGCTTGGTCCCCCGCCTGCCCCTCTCGACGCAACTAGGGTGCAACACATAACCGAAGGGGGGTGAAACAACTTCGAGGGCCAATTAAGGGATACGCGACGGCGGTCACACGTGAGGCGGCCAATCCAGCCTAAAAACAAGTTTGAGGGGTGCTTCAAACTGTAATGTGTATTGTGGTGTTCAAGTTTACGCTCGGGTCTGCGGTAGCGTTGTTCTGTAATTTGATGTTGGATGGTGTCCCGATGGTGTTCCGATGGTGCCCCGACGGTGCCCCCATGGTGCCCCAATGGTGTCTCGATTGCTTCCACATGGCATCCCATGTTCAGGAGGCCACCGGGGCCCAGGGGAAGCCCTTAAAGTCTCCAAGGCCCTATCGAGGGGCAGGAGGATGTGAGGTAAACGAGGGCCACGATCCACGGCAACATGCCTCGATTGTTTGCGCGAGGATCCGCGAGCGTTTGCTCGAACCAGTTTCGCACGAGCACGTGTCCAATTTGCGTTGTTTATCGCGTGATGTCGCGGGCTGCCGCGGCGGCGCTCTTGGTTTCTGGAGGCGCCCCCCGCGCTGCTGGCCCCCGCTCTGGAGGCGCCCCGCGCGCAGCTGGGGGCGCCCCACGCGCTGGCCCAGATGGCGCGCCAGACGGATCTGGACTGCGCACATGCGTGCTGCAACAATATAAGCAAGGCCATATGACTGCAGCTGACGTTTGCATCAGTTGCCAGCACGCTGCAACTGCCGGTGCGCAACGGCCTCTGATGGATTGGTGGAACCCCCCGCCCCCAGTGAACCTTGAGCATCGTCTCCCCTTCTGGTTATTTCTCCCGCGGCCCTCCCCAGCCGAACTTCGGCATCCTAACTCCCCGTCTGCGTTCCTCTCTCTCTCTCTCTCTCTCTCTCTCTCTCTCTCTCTCTCTCTCTCCCTCTGTCTCTCTATCGCGCCCCCTGTTTCGGGACGTGCGCTGAAGTATGCAATTGAACAAGATATTGAAGGGTCCAAAAGTGGAGATATAGATATGGAGCTGTTTATAGCTATACATATTCCTATATATGTACATGCATATATATATATATATATACGCGTATATGTACGGGGGGTTCAGCCAATCCATTTTGGCACGTTCTTGAGGTGCAGCTGGCGCGGGGGATCTAGCCAAACGTCCAGGAGGGGCGCGCTATGCCGAGCATCTGAGACGTGCGCGTGTTATGTTGGATGTCCGCGGGCATATGTTCAGGTCTAGATTGCCAGTTTGGGATAGTGCTCGGCAGTGTCGAAAGCACATCGATTTCCCAATGGTGCTGCCGCATGAACATTTCGCGCACTTGTACGAAATTGACCCTGGGCAATTCGACGTCAGGAAGGCGCGCGCTGACAACTTACCTTCTACGTGCACTTCGCACGTTCTGACTCGAGAGCACGTTCATTTATCGTGCCCTTTGGCTCTCTACTCAGACGGAGCCCCATACTTTAAATCGGATTCGCATTTGATCTGCACAATTAAAGAAATCAGACCGTTGCGCGTGTGGATGTAAGGGGTGGTGCACAATGGGTGGAATACATCGGATTCTAGCTTGGTCGTTCGGGTGTCTCGCCGCAGGGAAATGGCCATCACTTGACCACAATGGTGTGCCATTTGAAGACGAACTCCGCTCGGCGCGGCGAGGTTTCCCCCTCGCCGATGGCGCGGTCGGCGCGCTGTGCGAATGCCGCGCCGACCTCCTTGAGGTGGTCACTAGTCTCGGTTTCAAGAGTTGGCAGAATTTTGAACACCCGTGTTTCTGTTGCGCGGCGAAGAGGGGACAACTCTACGAATTCGATCGTTATGTGACAAGGTGTCGGTGGACAGAACGAACTGCTAACACATGAGACCGAAGTCGGCCGTGCTATGACACGACGGATGGTATCCTCGAGGCCGCTTTTGCGCCGCCCCGTGCGCAAAATGCATTTGGACGAGCACCGTGGCGGCCGTTGCTTAACGGAAGATTTCCGCAGCTCCAAGTTGTAGCTGGACACCGCCTCCTTGAAAATGAACATGTTCGTGACGTACGCGAGGTTGCCGACGTTCAGTTGCCGGCGTTTCTCGATTTTTTAGACACACCTCGTGCCGGGCAAATAAATAGCATTACCCCTCTGTTTACTATCCCTGGATTTAGTATCGATAGTGCCCATGTAGACGCCATGCACGTTCTTGATTTAGGAGTGTCTCAGTACGTGGCAGGCGCAGTAATGTTCAATCTGTGCGGGAATAGTTTTGCAGGGCCCACTAAATCACTGGGCCCGCAAACATGGGCACGGCACCGCCCTTCCTCTCCCCCATCTCCCAAGGAGGGGGGGGGGGGGGCGGTGGGAGGGGCGATGCCCTGCCCATGTGTGGGGGCCCAGCATACCCACCGTCGAAGACCGCAGGATGCAGAATTTGTTCGCTTTGCGCAGGCGGATGAAATCGTTTCATATGATGCGCAGGCTGTCTAGTAGGAAGCAAATGTCTGTTATTAAGAAGCTGAAATGGAAACAGCTCACGCCTACCTCTGACCACCCGCGCCTGAAGGCAAAAGCGGCCCAAACGCGATTGCTCCCCCCGCTCGTGCTTGCGTCGTGCGAAGAGTATTATGCTTCTCTGGGGCGGCGCGGCGGCGCCCTCAGACGCGCGTGCAAACATCTGAACGAGGTTCATGCCGCCATGAAGCGTGAACCTCGCAATATGTCTCCGCGTGGGCTCGGTTTGATGCAATTGAGTATGCAGCGTTTCTTTGTGCATTGGCGCCTGCGCGGTGGCCACCGCGTTTTTTAATTTCATTCTGCGTGGGACATGGTGCGCCGTGCGGCGCGCCAAGGAAACCCGCGGCACTAAATCGGTCGATTGGGGCTGTTGCCGAGAGTTGCCATGCAGGCGGCACGCTTTACATGACCCCCTTGGAAAAGGTCCTTTGGGATCCCCTGGGTCGGATTTAGAGGCCCTCAAACACGCGTGCGCGCGTTTGCATATGCAATTTCGTTTTTATGTATATATATATATATATATATATATATATATATATATATGTATTTGCACACATACTTTACATATATAGACATGTGTCGATGCTCGTATACACATGTATACGTTCATATATGAACACACCGTAACGATCAACAAGCACGCATACATGTGCATACCTTGCTGCGTACACGCGTGTGCAAATTCACGCACATAGATGTATGTATGTTGTATATATACAAATGTGTTTATATACACAGGCATGTCAACCAACATACTTATGTGGGTATGCCACAACTCGTCATGCGACCTGCGTTTCTGCACCGTTCGAGGGCGGATTCGCGCGGCGAGTAGCCCGCGATCCACCCCTGCGGGCAGTCGCTGGGGCTCGACCCGCGCAAGTTTGAATACTTTGTTGGAGCGATGCCGTGCGAGGTGGCTTTAATGTGGCGATATGCGAGATGCCATCTGGAGGTGGCGCTACGGTGGCCAACGACACACACGTACATACCATCAGGCAAACACACACACATACACGCACACACGCACACATGTGTATATATGTATGTATAGTCGTAGACGTGAATGCCCCAACAGGCCCCTCCTCGCCCGTGCTTGTAAATGCTGACCCCCCGCAACTGCGGTGGCTCAAAGTCTGAGAGGCCCCCAGCCGCGGCGGCCCCTGCATGGACGGAGGGGCGCCTCCGCTGTGGGCGACACTGCTCACGGCCTGGGGGGCGACCTGGAGCGCCTGCTGGAGTTGGGGCTGGGGCGGAGTCACCACCCAGGCGGCTCTCGCGGCGCCGTTCGCGACCTCCGGCCACTGCCAGGAGGACTCTGAGCGCTGCTCCTGCGACTGGGAGCTGCGCAAGATCATCGACCTCCAGCAGGAGGTCGGCCTCCTCCAGTCGGAGGTGTGGGCGCTGCGGTGCCTGCTGCTGGCCGGGCTCCTGCTGCTCGGCGCTGTGGCCTCTGGTGCTGGCACGCTGGGCTTCCTGGTGGGGGCCTGCCGGCGCTGTCGCTGCGGCGGGCGCGAGCGCGCGCCGGGCCGGGCGGCCGAGCCCGGCGCCCAACCGGCCGCGGCCTCGAGGGCGGCGGCGGTAGAGGGGCTGGCGTGCCCGCAGCCGGGCCGAGGGCCCTCGACGCCGAGCCGCCGGCAGCTGTAGCCCGATGGCAGACGTGCTGACGCTGGACATCGGCGACCCGCAGATCCTGGTCCACTACCCAGATGATGAGAACGGCTTCCTCTGGCACCACAGAGTGCTGCTCTTCAGGGTGTCGGACGACATCTGGATCAGCTTGACCCCTGATCTCGCGCTGGTGCGCCTGAAGCTGCTGGACATCCGGCACGAGGTGCTGGAGAGGCGAGCCCCGTTCCCCGCCCACCTGGGCAACCAGGTCTATGCCCACGACCCCATCGCCGCCGCCGCCCTGGCGGGCTTCCGCCGCCGGGCGAAGATCCAGGGGCAGCTGCTGGGCGTGGGCCAGGTGGACGTGGTCGAGAGGATGATCTGGGTGGTGGCCGAGCCCCGGTCGGCGAGGTTCGGCGAGGTGATCGACGCGGCCGTCATGGACGACGACGCCCGCGGCACGGGCTTCGACACGAAGGGGGTGGCGGTCGTGGACGGGGAGGAGATCTTCGTGCAGAAGATCGCGGCCAGCAAGCTCGACGACTTCAAGAAGGAGACCAAGGCGGACCTCGGAGACGTGCGCACGCTCGGGGACCACCTCGACGATGCTGGGCAGCGCTGTCTGAGGCTCTCGGAGGCGGTCGCGCTGATGAGAGACACGGATCAGCCGAACTTCCCGCTCGCCGGCGTGAGGAGCGTGAAGGAGTTCCTCGAGTCGGTGGCCTCCGGACCTGGCAACATGACATCGTACCAGGCGGAGTGGGAGCGGCTCAGCGGAGTCGGTGAGGGTTCGGCAGTCAACCATGTGCACCGCAACCTGTGCGAGGTGATTCGGCTCATGCACTCCTGGGACCAGGTCGACGCCTCCATGTTGGCCTCTGCGGAGCTGATCGTGCGCTGGCTGGTTCAGACGGAGATAGCGGTAGAGCGCAACCCGCGCCACCCTGACTACAGCGGGCTGGACATAGTGATCTCGGCCCCGGTGAATGCAGCGGGCCGCGCGACGACGAACAAGTTCAACTCCTGGGTCACCGACAAGCTCAAGGAGAGGGCGCAGATCTGGAAGCAGGAGCGCCTGTACCGCGAGGAGCAGAAGACGAACCTGAAGGAGGGCAAGGGCGGCGACGGCTACGACCCGTCCAAGAAGAAGCTGAAGAAGAGAGGGGGCAAGGCCGGCGCCGAGGGCGCCGGCGAGGGAGGATGACGCCTCTCGGGGCTGTGGGGGAGCCGGCGCTGGCAGCCCGGGCGCCGAGAGAGCCCCCCCACAGCCGACACAGACGTGGGCTAGCCCCCTCTATTCCTGGAGGGATCCGGTCACGAGATCGACGGCATGGAGACCCCTTTCCTCTGCCCTGCGATCCGAGTGGCCTCGGCTCTGCATGCAGCTCTGCGCGGCAACGGCAAGTTTTTGACACGGTTCGGGCCCTGAACCAGCTTGCCGCCGCCAACGTGAATTCACGTCGCGCCCAGGGGCACGACCGCGCACCAGAAGGGCACCTCCGGCCGACCGCCGTGCAGCAGTGGATGATCCAGAATGTCGCCCGGCGTGTACTGGCGTATGGGGATTGCCCCACTGACCTCACAGAGGAGTCATCGTTGCACGAGATCCTCGACTCGAGAGACCACTACGGGATGGAGCCCAAGAACTTGGCCAGCTTCGACTTCGACAAGGTCAAGATCCTGCACAGGAAGGTCCACGTTCGGCCGATACGTCGGGAGTTGCCCGCGTCGGCCGCTGGCTACCTTCGGCATGCTTCCGACTTGATCGAGATGGACGAAGCGGAGCTTGAGAGAGATCGTGCCGAGGGAGTGGGTGTCACGCCATACTGGGACCCCCTCCTCCGGCGCTCGCGAGACCTTCGGAAGCGACTGTACCAGCGCCTGGACCAGCAGGGCCTGCTGACTTGGCGCCGGCGGCTGAAGGGGCATGCGGGCATCTTCGTGGTCAAGAAAAAGGATGGGCTCCAGAGGTTGATCATCGACGCCCGAGCGGCCAATCGGGCGCATCGGCCACCTCCCACTACTCGGCTAGGCTCCTCGCGATGCATGGCCGACCTCGACCTCTCCGACCCCCGCCTGAAGGCATCGGGCTTCGGGGGCCTCGGCTCTGGGGCCTTCAGCCCAGCTGGCCGCGAGGGGGACGTCGGGGACTGTTTCTACAACTTCACCATCCCCGAGCTGGCGAGCTGGTTCGGCTTCGCAGACCAGTTCGGCACCCACGAGCTGACGGAGATGGGCTGCCTGCCGGACTCGATCTGGGACGACGCCGAGGGGGCCGAGACCAAGGTCGTGGACGGCGAGCTGCTCTACCCCTCCATGTGCGCGGTGTGCATGGGCTGGTCCTGGGCGCTCTACTTCGCCAACGAGGCCGTGACCTACCGAGTCCAGCGGGCGCTGCCCGACGGGGCCGAGAAGGTGATGAGGGAGATGCAGCCTGCCCCGACCATCGAGCCCGGCAAGTGCGTTGCCGGAGTGTACGTGGACAACGTGCAGGTGATCGGAGGCTGCGAGGCTGACGCCAACACTCAGATGCATGAAATCGAGAATCTTTTTCGAGAGGACCGAATACCTTTCGACGTGGAGCCGGGGGACAGTTTGGAGATGCAGTCCCTCGGCCTGGTGTACCACTGGCAGGAGCGTCGCCTGAGGCATGTGGCTCGGCGCGTCTGGCGGACCTACATGGCCGGACACGCCCTTTTGAGACGCCGCAAGCTCCACGGGCACGCGCTCCAGTGCTGGCTGGGGCACGTCGTGAACCTGAACCAGCTCTGCCCCGAGGCGATGTCCGCGCTGAACGCCTGCTGCCGCTTCATCGAGGAGTCGCTGGAGTCGCCCAAGCGGGTCTGGCCCTCCGTGAAGTCCGAGATCCGCTGCTCGATGAACTTGCTCTTCCTGATGGAGGCGGACTTGGGCGCGACCTACTCGGACCAGGTGTACTGCGGCTACGCACTCCACGTGACGACCGCCGAGCCGACCGAGCTCCGAGAAGCCTGGAGGTGGAGAGAACGCTGGCGGTACCGCGACGTCCCGACGGTGACGGGCCACGTCAGCAGCGGGCTCGACTACGTGCGCGGCGGCACGCCCGGCACCGCCACTGGCCCGAGGACCGCCTTCGGCCAGTCCCTGCTGAGTCAGGCGGAGGCGCCGGAGGAGGCGAGCGGCCTGGCTCCCTCTCCGGCCCGAAGCCGCGCTGCGAAGCCGGCTCGAGGCCGCACCCAGCTGCATCTTGACTCGGGCATCCCCGCCTTGGAGGACAGCTGGGTGGCCAGGCGCCGCTACAAGCTGGTCGCCGCGGACCGCTGGCGCTGGCAGGACGAGCACATCAACCTCAAGGAGGCGAGGGTCGCCTTGATGGGGCTCCGGCGGCACTGCCGATCGGTGAAGTTCATGGGCACAAAGCTGCTCTCGATCAGCGACAGCCAGGTCACCGTCGGGGCCTTCGAGAAGGGCCGCTCCAGCGCGGGCCTGCAGGCCCTCTGCAGGCGCGCAGCCGCCTACCGCCTGGGGGGGCAGATCTCCTGGCGGCTCAGGTACATCGAGACTGACCGTAACCCGAGTGACGAGGACTCCCGGCGCTGGGACCTGAAGAAGCCGGCTGGGCTGAACCGGGGGCCCGAGCGTCGAGACGCCGCCCCGAGCCTGTCCGCTCCAGCTGCGAGTTACACGACCTCCTCCTCTTCTCGGTCACCTCCGTCGGCATCCTCAGCATCTGTTGTACGCCCGTCAATTCAGAGCGAGCCTGGTAAATCAGTTTTTTGTATGGAGCTCTTCGGTGGAAAGGGGGAGCTGACTCGAGCCTGCCTGGCGGAGGGGCTTCCCTTCGCGGATTCAGTTGATATCAGAGACGGCTGGGAATTTGATCTTTCTCGTCGCAGTACACAAGAGTATATCCTGAGGCTGGCCCGAGAAGGGCGTTTGATATATGTGCACCTGGGAACGCCTTGTCAGGTTTGGAGTATCGCTCGGAGGGGGATCCGAAACCATGTTCGAGCCAGGGCCCGGGAACGTCTGGGCATCGAGTTCGCACTGTTTACGGCTACGTTGTGTCATATCCTATCACGTCGTGGGTGTTATTGGAGTGTGGAAAACCCCCGGACTTCGAGACTCTGGAACTTCGACCCGATCGCTCGCCTTCACGGACTCGCGGACGTCGTCGAGGTAAACTTCGATATGAGCATGTATGGCACGGCCTATCGGAAACCTACTCGAATCCTGACAAACCTGAGAGCGTTACAGTCCCTGGGAGATCGACCTCGCATTCGACATAAACACTCGGTCTTGCTACACGGTCATCTCACACCACTTGCCGCCGCCTACCCGCCGGCATTGGGCTCGTGTTGGGCCAGGCTCCTTTCTTCGGCCTTGCCGGGCGACATACGCCCGGGCCAGCGAGCCTTCGACCCCAGCGAGGTCCGCCATGGCCTCCAGCGGGCCGCGGGCCGTCGCCCGGCGGCTCGAGGAGCAGCGGTTCACGGTGAGGTCGGTGAACCCCGTGAGCCAGCCTGCCAGGCCGCCGACTCGTTCCTCGAGCACGACCCGATCATCCAGTTCGGCCAGGACGAGCGGCCCCGGCGCTGGAGGGCCCACCCGGACTGGGCGGCAGCCGCCACCGGGGAAGGGCCGACCGCGGCAGCCTACAGGCCCCCGGCGGGCAGGCCCCATCACCGTCCCGCGGAAGGACTCGCTGATCATGGCGACGGTGACCGGAGGCACGCTGGAGAGGTACGCGACGGCGGTCCACGAGTTCGAGACCTACGCGAAGGAGAGGCGCCTGCCGCTGCAGCCGCTAGCACGCCTGGACGACAGCCTCTCCCTCTACTTCGTGGACCTGTTCGACGACGGCTTCGGGGTCTGGGAGGGGCGCAACGCTTTCTACGGGTACAAGCTGCTGAAGCTCAGGACGACAGGCAAGGTCGACCTCCCAAAGGCGCTGGCCTCCCTGAAGGGTTGGACGAAGCGAGCGCCCGGGAGGATGCGTCTGCCGCTGCCCGACATCATCGTGGACGACATCGCGCTGGACCTGGTGGAGCACGGGAACCCCCTGATGGGGGCCGCGGTGGTGATCCAGACAGACACCTACACGCGGCCCTCCGAGGTGGTGGGCCTGAGGCAGGGCCAGATCTTGCCGCCGGCGCCGGTCGCGAAGCTCGGCGCGCACTATGGCATCGTCATCGCGCCCTCGGAGTGGCACGAGACCACGAAGACGGGCGGCCAGGACGACAGCCTGCTCGTGGGCGACGTGGCGAGGCCCTGGCTCACGAGCGTGCTGCGGCTGCTCCACAAGCCCAACGTGTCGGACAAGAAGAAGATCTTCGACTTCACCCTCGGCGACTACGAGCGCGAGGTGAAGAAGTCGGCCTGCCGCCTGGGCTACACCTCCCTGGGCGTGTGCCCGCACGTCTTCCGGCACTCAGGCGCCAGCAACGACAAGGCGCACTCCCGGAGGACGTTGAAAGAGGTTCAGAAGCGCGGACGATGGGCATCATCCGCGTCGGTGGCTCGCTACGAGAAGGGGGCCCTGATCTTGCAGCAGTTGCGCAAGGTTCCCTTGGCTAGGCAGAAGAAGGCGGCGGAGCGCAGCAAGCGCCTGCCGCAGGTCCTCCCTTCAAAAGATTCGTGGAATGTAGCGGCCACCAGTTCATGATATGGGTATGGGCGAAAGAGGGGCCGTCCAAGATGACAGCCCGACGATGTTCGACAAATTATCTCGTCTCAGGCCTGAGCTTCGATTGGATTACCTTGTCAGAGAGTGCGCGTGAAAGGTGATCCAAACTATATCGCACAGCTTCGCTGGATATGCATGTCTGGGCGAGGTTTTTAGGCCATCTAGGGGTGTGTATAGTCGTAGACGTGAATACCCCAACAGGCCCCTCCTCGCCCGTGCTTGTAAATGCTGACCCTCCGCAACTGCGGTGGCTCAAAGTCTGCCCACCCTCAGCCACCCTCGAGCTCGGCATGCCTCGCTCGTAATTCATGCTTTTTCCGCTGGGCGAAAGAGGGGCCGTCCAAGATGACAGCCCGACGATGTTCGACAAATTATCTCGTCTCAGGCCTGAGCTTCGATTGGATTACCTTGTCAGAGAGTGCGTGTGAAGGTGATCCAACTATATCGCACAGCTTCGCTGGATATGCATGTCTGGCGAGGTTTTTAGGCCATCTAGGGTATCTATATAGTTTAATGTATGCACGTGTCTATATATACACGGCAGGCAACGCAACTATGACAGGCCAGCCCCTGCGCCGCCCATCCAGGCGACGGCGCAGATGGGCGCTGCCGCGTCTCATTCATGCTTTTTTCCTTTGCGAACGGGGCGGCGGCAAAGCGGTCGCGACGGATCGGCCGTGGACCTGGGGGGGGGGGGGGCGGGTAAGAGGGCCCCTTCGGGCCCAGGGCACCCACGTGCACATGCGCGCGCATTCGTTCACATACAAACAAAGAAACAAGCGAACACACAAAAACAACCAACACACAAGCCAACACAACAATGCTAACACACGTGTGTGGAATAGTCGTTGATGGCGAATGGGATTCGTTGGTATCGCGCCCCCTTTTTTCCTTGAGTGCTGCCTGCGTTCAGAGATGTGGGCGAGACAATCCGGCGGTGGCGATCAAGTGGCCGCGCGGAGTGCGTTGTTGTTTGCCCCTGCCCCCCCCCCCCCCCCCCCGCGCGCGCCCGCCCCCCCGCCCGCCCACCCCGCGCCCCCGCCCCGCGCCGCCCTCCTCGAGGAGGAGGAGGATGGGGGGGGGAGGAGGAGGAGGAGGAGGAGGAGGAGGAAAACGAGGAGGATCGCTCGAGATCACGGGCGGGCGCCCACGGCAAGCGGCACGCCGTGCTGCGTCCGAGGGCGCGAAGTTTAAGTGCGTTCCCTGCATTTTTGAAGGGGGGGGGGAGGAGGAGGAGGAGGAGGAGGAGGACGAGGAAGAGGAGGAGAGATGAACAGGAGGAGGAGGAAAAGGAGGAGGACGACCTGGCGATGCCATCCGGGCGTTGCGATAAAGTGGCCGCGCGCTGTTAACCCCAGACATCGGGCGTCTCGAAAAAATCGAAGCGACAATATGTCATAGTACTGACCTGTGTGGAGGGGGGATTTTACGTGCAGGCCCTCGGGACCGTCAAAAACGATTATAAAAATCGAGACGCCTGATGTATAGGGAGTGCAGGGGCCCATGGCCCCCTGCCCCTGCGCGGCGCCCATCGCGGGCTCGCGGACTCCATGGAGGGCTCGTCATTCCGTAGTTACACGTATAGTTCACCCTGTTTCCTGTTTCACCCTGTTTCACCATGTTTCACCTGTTTCACCTGTTTCACCCTGTTTCACCCTGCGCGTGCAGGCGCTGGCCTGTTTCAGGTGCGGGCCGCCCTCGTGCGCTGGCCTGTTTCTGGCGCAGGCCGCCCTCGATCGTGCGCTGGCCTGTTTCTGATGCAGGCCGCCCTCGTGCGCTGGCCTGTTTCTGGTGCGCGCCACCCTCGATCGATGCGCTGGCCTCGCCATATATCTGGTGCAGGCCGCCCTCGATTATATGTTATACATACAGAGCTAATATATATATATGTATATATACATGCATATACGTACATACAATATATATTACTACACACATGGAAACATATGCGTATGCATATGCATATACATTATACGTATACATATACCATACATATACATATATATGTATGTAGCATGTATGTATGTATGTATGTTGTGCGCTGGCTTGTTTCTGGCGCAGGCCGCCCTCGAGGCGCTGGCTGGTTCCTGGCGCAGGCCGCCCTCGTGAGCGCTGGCCTGCCTGATTCTGGCGCAGGCCGCCCTCGTGAGCGCTGGCCGCGCGCGAGGCCGCCTGCTTGTCGCGCCTCCTCTGCGGCCATTCTGCCCATCCCGTGGCGATGCCATGCGGGGTGGCGCTAAAGTGGCCGCGCGGCCGCTTGCCTTCGGGCGCGCATATTATATATATATATATATATATATATATATATATAATATATATATATATTATATACATATGTGTATATATATATATTGAAGTGAAAGAACATGCTCTCTCTCTTTCTCTCTCTCTCTCTCTCATCTCTCTTTCTCTCTCTCTCTCTCTCTCTCTCTCTCTCTCTCTCTCTCTCTCTCTCTCTCTCTCTCTCTCTCTTCCTCGTAACCCCCCACCCCATAACAAAACTACACCTCCCGCCCCGGGGCATCACTCCGACCGAGACCGGTGCGACCGTTGGCTCGGCTCGAGGTTCGCCGCGGAGAGCGGCGCGACATGTCGCGCATGCAACTGTTGGGTGTTGCGCAAAAAACATTAGACAACAAACAGTTAACGAACATACGAAAAACAAACAGGCAACACTTGTGCATATGTATATATACATACATATCCGGCGTCGGCTGTTCGAGCCCGCGGGATCGCACAAACTGCGATATAAGCGCTAACCGCGGCATCGACGGCCTTGTCCCAGAGCTGCTTCCACTTACTAGGCGACCTGAACGAAGGCATCGAATCATCGTGTCCTACACATACATAAATGTATGTATATGTATGTATGTATGTATGTATGTGTGTATATATATATATCGGTCACTGTGGTACGCTGCATTCTGTGTACTGGGCAACATATCCAGCAAGAGTGTTGTAATGTTTTTGTTTATGATGCCTGGGTTTTTCGCTCGCGTCTTGGTTTAAAACCAAGACTTCCTCTCACGTCTTTTTTAATTATTTATTAATGACGTCCGGATGCGTGGGGGGCCGGCCCGCAGGAAGGAGGTCATGCGCGATATCGGTGCTGACCCAGCCCTCGAGCATGTGGCGACGGCGACGGGCCTGCTCGGCGGCTACCTCCGTAATCGTGCGCGGGAGGCCAAAGAGGCGGGCGATACCTACGACGCGGAGGCCCTTGCTGCGCGCGCGGTGGAGTTCGGCTGCCCAGAGTTGGCAGAGTCGGCCGAAGCGTTCCTAGAGCTGCACTGCCAGAAGACCAAGGCGGGCGAAGTCGCACCGGGCCAGGCCACAGTGAGCTCCGTCGCTCGGGGAGAGGACGACGAGCCAGGCACGGGCACGTTGACCTTGGCAGGGGCTACTTGGGCCATGCTGGACTACCGCGACAAGCTAGCGCTCGACCCAGAGACGGTCGAGGCGCTCGATGGCTTACCCCGCTCGACGAGAGCCGCCGGACATCGAGCTTCGGGAGTGCGCCCCCATCAACGTCGGCGGCGCACATGATCGGCAATGTGGCCTTGCCGCAGGGCGGGTGGCCGTCGGCGATCGCCGCCCAGGAGGAGGGCCTACGCTTCCGCATGGGCCTGGTGGAGCACGGGAACCCCCTGATGGGGGCCGCGGTGGTGATCCAGACAGACACCTACACGCGGCCCTCCGAGGTGGTGGGCCTGAGGCAGGGCCAGATCTTGCCGCCGGCGCCGGTCGCGAAGCTCGGCGCGCACTATGGCATCGTCATCGCGCCCTCGGAGTGGCACGAGACCACGAAGACGGGCGGCCAGGACGACAGCCTGCTCGTGGGCGACGTGGCGAGGCCCTGGCTCGCGAGCGTGCTGCGGCTGCTCCACAAGCCCAACGTGTCGGACAAGAAGAAGATCTTCGACTTCACCCTCGGCGACTACGAGCGCGAGGTGAAGAAATCGGCCTGCCGCCTGGGCTACACCTCCCTGGGCGTGTGCCCGCACGTCTTCCGGCACTCAGGCGCCAGCAACGACAAGGCGCACTCCCGGAGGACGTTGAAAGAGGTTCAGAAGCGCGGACGATGGGCATCATCCGCGTCGGTGGCTCGCTACGAGAAGGGGGCCCTGATCTTGCAGCAGTTGCGCAAGGTTCCCTTGGCTAGGCAGAAGAAGGCGGCGGAGCGCAGCAAGCGCCTGCCGCAGGTCCCCCTTCAAAAGATTCGTGGAATGTAGCGGCCACCAGTTCATGATATGGGTATGGGCGAAAGAGGGGCCGTCCAAGATGACAGCCCGACGATGTTCGACAAATTATCTCGTCTCAGGCCTGAGCTTCGATTGGATTACCTTGTCAGAGAGTGCGTGTGAAAGGTGATCCAAACTATATCGCACAGCTTCGCTGGATATGCATGTCTGGGCGAGGTTTTTAGGCCATCTAGGGGTGTGTATAGTCGTAGACGTGAATTCCCCAACAGGCCCCTCCTCGCCCGTGCTTGTAAATGCTGACCCCCCGCAACTGCGGTGGCTCAAAGTCTGCCCACCCTCAGCCACCCTCGAGCTCGGCATGCCTCGCTCGTAATTCAATGCTTTTTCCGCTGGGCGAAAGAGGGGCCGTCCAAGATGACAGCCCGACGATGTTCGACAAATTATCTCGTCTCAGGCCTGAGCTTCGATTGGATTACCTTGTCAGAGAGTGCGTGTGAAAGGTGATCCAAACTATATCGCACAGCTTCGCTGGATATGCATGTCTGGGCGAGGTTTTTAGGCCATCTAGGGGTGTATCTATATATGTTTAGATGTATGCACGTGTCTATATATACACGGCAGGCAACGCAACTACGACAGGCCAGCCCCTGCGCCGCCCATCCAGGCGACGGCGCAGATGGGCGCTGCCGCGCCTCATTCATGCTTTTTTCCTTTGCGAACGGGGCGGCGGCAAAGCGGTCGCGACGGATCGGCCGTGGACCTGGGGGGGAGGGGCGGGTAAGAGGGCCCCTTCGGGCCCAGGGCGCCCACGTGCGCATGCGCGCGCATTCGTTCACATACAAACAAACAAACAAGCGAACACACAAAAACAACCAACACACAAGCCAACACAACAATGCTAACACACGTGTGTGGAATAGTCGTTGATGGCGAATGGGATTCGTTGGTATCGCGCCCCCTTTTTTCCTTGAGTGCTGCCTGCGTTCAGAGATGTGGGCGAGACAATCTGGCGGTGGCGATCAAGTGGCCGCGCGGAGTGCGTTGTTTGTTTGCCCCTGCTCCCCCCCCCCCCCCCCCCCCCCCCCCCCCCCCCCCCCACCCCCCCCGCACCCGATCCCCGCCCGCCCGCCCGCGCCCCGCCCCGCGCCGCCCTCCTCGAGGAGGAGGAGGATGGGGGGGGAGGAGAAGGAGGAGGAGGAGGAGGAGGGACATGAGGAGGATCGCTCGAGACCACGGGCGGGCGCCCACGGCAAGCGGCACGCCGCGCTGCGTCCGAGGGCGCGACGTCTAAGCGCGCCCCCTGCATTTTTGAAGGAGGGGGGGGAGGGGGGGGGGGCGAGGAAGAGGGGGAGGGAGGAACATGAGGAGGAGGAGGAGGAGAAGGAGGAGGACGACCTGGCGATGCCATCTGGGCGCGGCGATAAAGTGGCCGCGCGCTGTTAACCCCAGACATCGGGCGCCTCGGAAAGATCGAAACGACAATGCGTCATGGTGCTGACCTGCGTGGAGGGGGGATTTTACGCGCAGGCCCTCGGGGCCGTCGCGCAACGATTATAAACATCGAGGCGCCTGATGTATAGGGGGCGCAGGAGCCCATGGCCCCCTGGCCCTGCGCGGCGCCCATCGCGGGCTCGCGGACTCCATGGGGGGCACGTCGTGCCGTAGTTACACGTATGGTTCGCCCTGTTTCACCCTGTGTCACCCCGTTTCACCCTGCACGTGCAGGCGCTGGCCTGTTACAGGTGCGGGCCGCCCTCGTGCGCTGGCCTGTTTCTGGCGCAGGCCGCCCCCGATCGTGCGCTGGCGTGTTTCGGATGCAGGCCGCCCTCGTGCGCTGGCCTGATTCTGGCGCGCGCCGCCATCGATCGATGCGCTGGCCTCGCCATATATCCGGTGCAGGACGCCCTCGATTATATGTTATACATACAGATCTATATATATATATGTATATACATACATGCATATACGTACATACATATATATACATACACACATAAACATATGCGTATGCATATGCATATACATTTACGTATACATATACACATACATATACATATACATATACATATACATATACATATACATATACATATACATATAAACATACATATGCACAAACAACAATATATGTATGTATGGATGTATGTATGTATGTATGCATGTATGTATGTATGTATGTGTGCGCTGGCTTGTTTCTGGCGCAGGCCGCCCTCGAGGTGCGCTGGCTTGTTTCTGGCGCAGGCCGCCCATCATGCGCCGGCCTGTTTCTGGCGCAGGCCGCCCTCGTCTTGCGCTGGCCGCGCGCGCGGCCGGCTGCTTCTCGCGCCTCCAGAGGCCTCTTGTTTCTGCCCATCTCCGCGGCGATGCCATGCGGGGCGGCGCTAAAGTGGCCGCGCGGCCGCTTGCCTTCGGGCGCGCATATATATATTATATATTATATATAATATATATATATATATATATATATATTGTATTAATATATATATATATAATATATATGAAGTAAAAGAACATGCTCTCTCTCTTTCTCTCTCTCTCTCTCTCTTTTTCTCTCTCTCTCTCTCTCTCTCTCTCTCTCTCTCTCTCTCTCTCTTCCTCGTAACCCCCCACCCCATAACAAAACTAAACCTCCCGCCCCGGGGCATCGCTCCGACCGAGACCGGTGCGACCGTTGGCTCGGCTCGAGGTTCGCCGCGGAGAGCGGCGCGACATGTCGCGCATGCAACTGTTGGGTGTTGCGCAAAAAACATTAGACAACAAACAGTTAACGAACATACGAAAAACAAACAGGCAACACTTGTGCATATGTATATATACATACATATCCGGCGTCGGCTGTTCGAGCCCGCGGGATCGCACAAACTGCGATATAAGCGCTAACCGCGGCATCGACGGCCTTGTCCCAGAGCTGCTTCCACTTACTAGGCGACCTGAACGAAGGCATCGAATCATCGTGTCCTACACATACATAAATGTATGTATATGTATGTATGTATGTATGTATGTGTGTATATATATATATCGGTCACTGTGGTACGCTGCATTCTGTGTACTGGGCAACATATCCAGCAAGAGTGTTGTAATGTTTTTGTTTATGATGCCTGGGTTTTTCGCTCGCGTCTTGGTTTAAAACCAAGACTTCCTCTCACGTCTTTTTTATTATTTATTAATGACGTCCGGATGCGTGGGGAGCCGGCCCGCAGGAAGGAGGTCATGCGCGATATCGGTGCTGACCCAGCCCTCGAGCATGTGGCGACGGCGACGGGCCTGCTCGGCGGCTACCTCCGTAATCGTGCGCGGGAGGCCAAAGAGGCGGGCGATGCCTACGACGCGGAGGCCCTTGCTGCGCGCGCGGTGGAGTTCGGCTGCCCAGAGTTGGCAGAGTCGGCCGAAGCGTTCCTAGAGCTGCACTGCCAGAAGACCAAGGCGGGCGAAGTCGCACCGGGCCAGGCCACAGTGAGCTCCGTCGCTCGGGGAGAGGACGACGAGCCAGGCACGGGCACGTTGACCTTGGCAGGGGCTACTTGGGCCATGCTGGACTACCGCGACAAGCTAGCGCTCGACCCAGAGACGGTCGAGGCGCTCGATGGCTTACCCCGCTCGACGAGAGCCGCCGGACATCGAGCTTCGGGAGTGTGCCCCCATCAACGTCGGCGGCGCACATGATCGGCAATGTGGCCTTGCCGCAGGGCGGGTGGCCGTCGGCGATCGCCGCCCAGGAGGAGGGCCTACGCTTCCGCAAGAGCATGCTCGGAGCAGCCAGGATCGCGGAAAGCGCGCTGGGTGAAATCCCCGGGCCCCTGACCCAGGCGGAGGCAGACCTCCGCATCTTCTGCCGCGATCTCACATGCCGGGACCACGACGAGGACTATCGCATGTACGCGGCGCCCCCACCAGACATGCCGCGAGACAAGGCCCTGGGCGCAGCGCGCATGGACTTCTACGGCAGAGCGGCCGTCGAGCTCATCATCGGGGCGGAGTTCACGATGCAGGAGGAGGACATCCTGTGGGTCCTAGTGCGCAAAGGCCACATGCGCGTCCTCGCCCCGCCAGGCTCGGCCATCATGGGGCAGCTGTACGGCGCGGGGGCCGACGCGCAGGAGTTGCCCGCGCTGGGCGGGGGGCGCTTCTGGAACTTGCCCTGACCACTCGCACCCCCCTGGCCCGCCCGGGCGCGCCGGCCTGCCGGCGGTGGGGGGAGGCGGCGGGCATCGCGGTGACCCGGCGGCCCGCGTCTGGCTTCCTCGTCGGCCTTCTCAGCGAGGAGACGCCGGCCAACTCCGCACTCTTCTTCGAGAAGGCCGCGGCAGGAGAGGTTGAGGAGGATGAGGAGGTAGACGGTGGGAAGGTCGGTGAGGTCATCGAGGGCCCCTTGGACGGCGAGCTCCGCAGCTGGCTGGGCGCGCAAGCTGCGGCGTTGCCGCCGCGCGGCGGCCGCTTGGATTTCCTCGAGGTTTTGACGGGCGAGGCCCGCATCTCCCAGGCGATGGCACAGCAAGGCGGTCGAGCCATCAAGATCGGGCTGCGGCGTGGGCAGGACTTGCGCCGCAGGCGCGATTGGTGGTTGCTTCTCGCCCTCGTGAAGCTTCACGACCCGCGCGAGACCTGGGCCAGCTGGCCGCGCACGGCTTTCTGCGCGCTCGCGTCGCTCAACGAGTCGAGGGGCGTCGACCTGTCGAAGGTTAAGAAGGAGGGAGCTACCTTCCTGGCCCTCGCCGAAAGCAGCGGGGCTGCTCGGGCGAGAACCCCTGGCTCTCGGCGGCGTGGAAGCAACTGGCCACGCTTTTGGAGGACCCGGCCCGGCGGCAGGTCCGCCTCGATCAGTGCACCCTGAACCTCAGGAGCGCTGCAGGGGGCCTGCGCCTCAAGCCCGCCCGCATCGTCTCGGCCTCAGGGGACATCGCGGACGCCCTAGCCCTCGTTGAGGGCAGGGCGGACACCAAGCGGAGTGCGACCTACTCTCAGGAGATGGCCGAAGTAGCGGCTATGACGGCCATGCGACGCGCCCGACGAGCGAGTAAAGCAGGAGAAGAGGAGCACGAGGGGGCCAGGAGTACCAGCACGTGGAGGTCGGGGTCTCAGGAGGAGCATTCGAGGAGTCTGCGCGGGCAGGGGAGGTCCTTGATGATCGAGCAGGCGGACCAGGAGTCAGACCAGAGGACGAGGCGGCGGGGGCCTACTGCGATTTTCTCCAGGATCACCCGGACTACGACGCAGACCAGGTGGGGGGGTGGGTCGCGGGGAGAGGCGACGCAGCGCTGAAGGAGGCGGGGTCGCTCGAAAAGGTAATCGTGGCATTGCGAGGGATCTGGTGAGAGAGGCACGGCTACCACTCGAGGGGCATCTTCGACAAGAACCTGGAGCCGCTGGTAGGAGGCGCGCTCCTGGAACACGCCCGGAAGGTGGCCGAGGAGGGGGCGGGGGCGAGGTTCAGAGGCGCGCCGTCGCGCCTCAAGGCCTTGCCGCACCCGAGCGCCAAGGACCACTTGGACGAGGTCATGCGCGCCCTCTGGAGGGACGCGGCCAAGGGCCGAGTCTTGCTATGCACCGGCGTGCACGTGCATCTGTTCGGCAGAGTGGTGAGCGCCCCTACGGCCAGGGTGCCCAAGCAGAACCCGGACCGCTCCATGAGCGACAAGGGCATCAGCCCACTCCGGGAGGTTGCGCCCGCGAGCCGGAGGGGCGAGGGGGGGCTGATGCTGGAGTTCGTCGCGCGCCGGTCGAGACGAGGATGCAAGAAAGCCGGCGCCATCAAGCAGTACCTGAGTGCCGCCCTGGCCCAGCACCTTGCCCTCGGCCTTGGCGATCTCGCGGCGGGCGCGGGCAGGCTCTGGGTGGCGATCGACGGGCTGAGGGGGCGCGACGGCGACGCCGAGCGGAAGAAGCCAGTCACGCCCAGGATGACGCGGCGGATCCGGAGGAAGCTGCAGCAGGAGAGGTCACGCGAGGGCGCAGCCCTATTGGCTGCGGTCGACACGGGCTACTTCTTCTTGCTGAGGGCCAGCGAGTACGTGTCGGGCTACCAGAATGGTTACACCACTGGCAAGGACCTAAGTGGCGCCTTCGTCACGCCGAAGGCAGCAGGCCAACCGACGAGGAGCTGGCCTGATGCAAACGAAGTCGTCATCCAGATACGGGCCAACAAGACGGATCAGTACAATCGAGGAGAATGGCGCAACCACTTCAGGGTCGAAGCAGCACCAGGCACGGCGGACGATGAGCACGTCTGCGCGGTGAAGGCACTGGCGATCTACGAGGGGTGGGCACGCGAGAGGTTCCCCGGGGCGCGGGCGCATGACCCGCTCTTCGCCTACGACAACATGCGGCTCGTCACGAGGGTCGACGTCCAACGAGTGGTGATGCAGCCAGCCGTGGCAATGACTTAATTAGGCTCCCACGGCCTGAGGATCGGGGGGGCGCCAGCGCTTTGCGCAGCATTCAAAGACACGGCGCTGGTGCAGCGCCGGGGGCGGCGGGATAGCGACGCCTTCCAAGGCTACTTGTGGGGGGGGCGAGGGGCATGGCGCAGGGCGTAGCTAGCAGCGTGGAGGCCGCGGACCTGGCCATGGCACGAGAAGCGCATGGGGCGGCCGCTCCGGCCAGAGGCTCAAGCGCAGGGCAGCCGAGGCCGAGAGGTCCGAGGCCGAGGCGCATGGGGGGCCTCGACCGCTGACAGCGCGGCAGCCGAAGAACGCGCGGAGAAGGTGCCGAGGGCGCTGGGCAGCGGGGGCCAGGACCCCCCTCCAGTCCGGGCAGGGGCCCTCGAGGTGGGCCCCGCGGCTCGATGCGCGCATGGCGCCGGGGGCATAGAGGGGGCTCGGCGGCGAGACGCGCCGCAGAGCTCGCGCCCTCCAGCGGGGGGGCGCGACAGGCTGCGTGAATAGATGCCTTCTCCTCCTCCTCCTCCTCCTCCTCCTCCGCCTCCTCCTCCTCCTCCTCCTCCTCTTCCTCCTCCTCCTCCCCCCCCCCCCCTCCTCCTCCTCCTCCTCCTCCTCCCCTCCTCCGCCTCCTCCTCCTCCTCCTCCTCTCTCCTCCTCCTCCTCCTCCTCCTCCTCCTCCCCTCCTCCTCCTCCTCCTCCTCCTCCTCCTCCTCCTCCTCCTCCTCCTCCTCCTCCTCCCCCTCCTCCTCCTCTCTCCTCCTCCCCCCTCCTCCTCCTCCTCCTCCTCCCCTCCTCCTCCTCCTCCTCCCTCCTCCTCCTCCCCTCCTCCTCCCTCCTCCTCCTCCTCCTCCTCCTCCTCCTCCTCCTCCTCCTCCTCCTCCTCCTCTTCCTCCTCCTCCTCTTCCTCCTTCTCCTCCTCCTCCTCCTCCTCTCCTCCTCCTCCTCCTCCTCCCCCCCACCCCCCCCCCATCGTCAGCATCGGCGTCTGAGGGGAGAGGGGGCGCGCGAGGGGGGCGGGGGGTGCGGCCTGAGGGGCGCGGGCCCAGCCGCGCCCAGCCGCGCCCGATCCGCCCGGGCTTCGGGGGCGGAGAGAAGAGAGGAAACGTAGACGTTCGAGGGAACAGTGGGTTTCCTCGCTCTGCGCGGCCCCTCTCTCCTGCATGTGCCCCTCCCCCGTCGCCCTTGGCTCGAGGCCGCTCTAGGAGCGGCCCCGGCATCCTTTCTGAAGGTCCCGCCCACCCACGCCATAATAAAGCGGTGGGTGGGGCTTCCCGATGAGTTTGCTCGGCTCGCGCTTGCCTCGTCGCAGTCGGCGCGCGCTCGGCCCCCGCCTCGCCGCGAGCCCCCCCCCCCCCCCCTCGGCGCTGCAATGCGCCGGGCGGGGAGGGTCGGCGGCGAGACGCGCCGCGGAGCTCGCGCCCTCCAGCGGGGGGGCGCCGCAGGCCGCGTGGAAAGATACCCCCCCCCTCCTCATCGTCGGCATCAGCGCCTGAGGAGTGCGAGGGCGCGCGAGGAGGGGGAGGAGGAGGAGGAGGAGGAGGGGGAGGAGGAGGAGGGGAGGGTTTGGCCCTGGTCCCGATTCCTGGAAGTGAGAGTTCCAGCGCATCTGAGACCGAAAGAGGCTTGACCCCAGGCGTGCTCCTACACTTATTACTTCTTTCGGCGCCGCGCCCACCATTCCCTCATAACCCAGTTGGCATAGACGGGCCAGGGCCCAGAGAGGCCAGGCACGGGTTCTTCTGAGGCTCCGAGCAGCTGCACTTCTATTACAAGGGCACCACTCATCGAGCATGGCGAACCGCCAGGCTCGGGGTGCCAGGCTCGGGGTGCCAGGTTCACTGGCCCTGGGCTGGACTGGACCTGCATACCCTGTGGGAGGCACGTCAGAGGTCACCATTGGCGCTGTATATGTGGTACGACTTTTGGTAGGACTGAGAACCTTGCGAACCCGTTCCCAGGTGGGGCCCACTTTGAGCGGGGGCAAGATGGGAGAGTTCGAAGCAGGCGCTCTCTTTCCAGGCCCCAGGCCTTTCGTCAGAAGGATTCCGGCCACAACAACGACAAGGCAGCTCAGGACGTCGTCATGCAGACTGCCCCCATCACAAGAGCTGACATGATGAACATGCCTCAGGCTGCCAAACATTTTCAAGAGCCGCCCTCGGGCATCAATGAATTGCGCAAGTTCAAGCGTCAGAATCATGTGCGCATGCTCCGCCTCGCCAGACTCATACTTGCGATGCGCGTCGCAGGGCACTCATCTACAGAAGCTGAGCTGGAGTTGGCAGTTTGCAAGCTCATGCAAAGCACCACATAATCGGTTACGAAGCAGCTACATGAATTACATACCAACAGGGACAAAGTCATTGAACGGTTGAAGATCATAAGAGAGAAGCAACAACATCTGCTGGAGGAAGAGAAAGGGCACGAGAAAGACTTGGTCTACCCCACCGATCGAGATGATCGATCAGTCGTTATTGGCGCCGACGCAGCCGTTGAGCAACCAGGACGAACTCACCAGCGGGCCGAATTTCAGCATGGCCGATGGTCACCTCCTCAGGTGGCTTTTTTTTTTCGCACTGAATTCCCTCCTCTCATCCACCCCCCTCCTCCTGGTGCTAGACCCACTCGTTCTATCCTCTCCCTCAAACATCCTTGCCTTGGAAACACGCATCCTGTCACGGCCCCCGCCGCATGTTTTTGGGCTGAGAAAAGGGTGGGCATTGGTTCGCCTTGGCAAAGCTTTGGTAATGCCAACATTTCTGAAGAGTATAGTGCGTTGGATGTGTGGAGGCATCTAGCCGAAGCCACGACTTGTGACATGCTCATGGTTCAGGGGAACCCATGGGAGTTTAAGTGCAGGTGGGACTTCTTGGGGCAGGTTCTTGAGAACACTGAAGTTTCTTTCCTGGACGGTATAGCGTGCAACGCCACATGGTGGCACATGGAAGCTTGCCCTGGGGCGTGGGCATTAATTTGCGCTGCCTCCTCATGCAGAGGAACACAACATTCTACTAGTTTAGGTGTCCTCGATGACACCGCCAGTTTCACTTCTCAGGGTATTAGCTACTGGACGGGGAATGCAGCGAGGCGGGAGGGTGGAGATTTTGGGAAGAAGTGGTCGGCTTCTCTTAACGGGCCTCAAGCACGCGTCAGACCTCCTTCTGAACAGCTTGTGGCCCGCCTCCTCATCTTCCTCGCCTCAATCACAGGGCCTCTCTCACAGTTGGAAACCTCCCCTCCCAGGCACCTTGGCAAGCGAGTGTGCACTTGCTTCGATCACCTTGCTTTCTCCCAGCCTCAGATGCCTCAGGTCCTGGCAAGCTCAGGGCAACCAGGCTACCTGTGTCGAGGCGGCGCTGGCAAGGCACCTTCTACCACTCATCACCTCTCCTCCTTTGGGGATAAGGACATAGGGATGGCCTCACCTCACCCCCCCTCTCGTGGGCTCGATGCGTTTCAGTTTCAAGCGGGAAGCCACGCTGAGACTGCTCGCCCGGCATTTCTCACAGCACCCAAGTCTAGTGCGGAGACTAAGTATTGCACGCCAGTTGTTTCTGCCTTCGCTCGGTTTTACAAGAGGCAGATCCCTCTCAGCCCTTGCCCGATGCTGATTCACCGAGCTGCAGTCCAACCCCCCCCCCCCCCCCTCAACAGCGCTAGGGGCAGCCGCCTTGGTGGCCCGACTTTGGTCACACACTCACGGGAAGGTGGGAGTTCGCACCAGGATCACGTGGCTCCTCAGGGGGTGCCCGCCAAGGTTGTTCCTTGTTTGGACTCTAGGGATTATGACGCCGTTAAGTTCTACGGGACCAGGGATATTATATGCCCCCCCCCCCCCCCCACTTTGCAGGGATGTTCCCCGCAATGACCTCCCCGAGGTTTCCTGCGTGGCTCTTGACGTGACCCCCCCGGAGGCCTGAGGTCCCCGCTAAGCTTCACCTCTTCACGGATGGCTCGGTCAAACCTAGGAGCCTTTCCAAGGCCCCTTGGGCCATGGTGGTTGTAGGTGAGCACGCTTCTCAGAACTTGCCATTCAGCTTTCTCGGCTGGTGGGCACCTGACCTAGACGGCTCTTGCAGGGCGGCCACGGGCAGCGACTTGGCCACCAGTACCGAGAGTGAGTTCATCGGTGTATTATGGGCGGCCTACTTTCTTGCCAGCCAGGATTCTACGACTCCCGCTGAGGTGCAGGCAGATCCCCTCAATGTAGTTCGAGCCATCACTGGCTTATCCGCCCCCCCACCACACGACCATTTTGGCCGCTTGACTTGCTCCTTGTGTGCCCAGGTGGGGTGTCATCGTCAGGCTTCCATTGCCCACGTTAAGGGGCATTGCGGGCATCCCTGGAACACGCTTGCCGATTGGCTCGCTGGGGCTGTCCTTGATGGCAGTATATCGGCCACGGCGTTTCCCGAGGATGCCCTCTCTCGTACGGTCTATCACAAATCCATGGAATGGGCTTGGTTACTGGAGGCCGACACCACGTCCAAAGAGGCGCACCCTTTTCAGTTGGGAGGAACAGGCGCTCACACGCCTAAGTGCCATGGATTGGAAGAGCATCTGCCTCCATCCATCGTATCCCGTCACTCCTTGCCAGCAGGTGCCTCGACCGTGTCGCTGGCATTCCAAGCCGCACAGTTTAATGCGAGGTCTGCCTCTGCCAAGCTCACGTTTGGCACGGCAGGGCGAGCGAGAAGAGCTAGGCTCAAGCTACTTCGGGCGCAGTTCATGGCAGCAACCACGGTCTTGGTAGGCATTCAAGAAGCAAGGGCCCCTGGGGGTTCCAGGTGTGCGGACGGTTTTTTGTATCACCTCCTCGGGGCCCGACCATGAGGGGCTTGGAGTCGAGCTCTGGATCAATACGACTGTTCCCTATGGTAGAACAGACAATCACGAACACACACTCATGCCCGAACATGCGCGTGTACTCTTTGCATCCAGCAGGCTACTATTCGTACGCATCCAGGCCCCCGCTCTTAGCCTCATTGTTTCGGTTGCTCATGTCCCCCCACGCCAGGGCGCCCCTCCCCACCAGGGAAAAATGTTGGTACACGTTTGAGCAGCACGCCAAGCAGTGGCCACCATCTCTGGGACTTTGGGATGCGAGCGTCAGAGTAGGCCCCTACCTTACCTCAGCGGTTGGCTCAGCCGAACCTAGACAGCAGGAGGATCTTCAAGGCAGCACTCTCCACAGCTTTGCACAGGCTCATGAGTTGAGGTTGGTCAACACTTTCGTGATGGGCTCGCCTGAAGGCTACGCGTATGTCAGAAATCGCGGAACGAGGCATAGGATTTATTACATTGTCACTTCCCCGGCCCTCCAAGCATGCATCAACTATTGTCAAGTAGCGACTGAGTTTGACACAGGGCTCGTTTCTAAAGATCACCTCCCCTCGCTTGCTTCAATGGCCTGGAACGTCGAACACAAACCCCGTAGAGGAGGGGGATTTCCCCCTTGGACCCCGCAAAATTGATTGCACACAGGCGTGCGAAAAGTTTCGGCAGATATTAGGAGACGTTCCCTTAACACCCTGGGGTTGTGAACTTAATCAGCATTGCCACGACGTTTCGGATTGCATCACGCAGGCGGCCCATTCATGTTTTGCTCTCACCAGGCGATTACCCAATATGGGGTTTCTGCCACCAGATGTCATGGACATGATACGCTTACGGAGAGGATCCCAGAGAGCCACCAGAAAATGGTTCATGTCGGCGCTTTGCGCTGATGCGAAGCTCTCGTCCCATCGCGCCCCTCTGTCTCACTTTGCTTCTCGCCTCATCTCAGGCGGCCCCTCCAATTTCAATTGTCTAGCGATGCCCGCCACATTTGCCTCCTTGGTTCAGATGCTTCGCTTTTCGGCGACACTATTTCATCAGCGGCAGCTGTGCAGTGAGGACTTTGCGGTGAGGGTCACCCATTTCGTCGCCAACAGTATGGGCGCAGTTAGGGAAACACTTGAGCAGGATCATTCCAGGTTTCTCTCTAGCATGGCAGACCAAATCTTACTTTCCGCGGATGCCCACATGCCCAGGAACGAGTGGTTTCATATTGACAGGCTCCTGGCCATTAGGGGGCAAATCCAGGGGCCCTTCCTCATCCTCCAACACTATCCCCTTCATGACTGACGAGGGGGTTTCAGATCCCGCGGAGCGACCAGACGGATCGGTTGGTCCTAAGATTCTCAGCACGCTCGAACAGGTGGCTCAGAACATGCAGCGGCACTTCTGTAAGGTCGAAAAGGGACTCGGCACGTGCATGTCAGGCATGCTGCAAACCTACAACCAGCTTCCTGACTTTCTCAGCAGCATTGGTCAACACTTGCTCAAATATGTGCCCGCACCTCTTGACTTGCAGCATCTCATGCGTGCCTTCAGGAAGGGCAAGGCTCCAAGCATTGATGGCATGCCCAGATGTGTGTTCAAGATTGCCCCCCAGACAGCTGTCTAGGTTATTGAGGCCATTGCTGGTTAAAATCACGCTGGGGGGGCAGAGAGCCGTTTACCTTTAAGCTGCGGGTGTTTTTTTTTTTTTTTTTTTTTTATATAAAAAAGAATTTGGGGCTCCCTCGGTTGCCAAAAACCATCGCCATATCCTACTAGCCAGCGCTCTCTGCAACCTTTGCCGCACACACCTACGGTCTCTGGCGCATGATTTTCTTGCGTCCGCCCTTCTTTGTGAACAATGTGGTGGAGTAGGGGGCAGGAGTGTAGACATGATCACACTAGCAGTTCGCGCATTCTTCAGGCACTGCATTCACAGCCGCACCTCGGGGATTGTTATTTGTCTTGACCTGGTCCAGGCCTTCTATACCACCATTAAGCAGATTGCCTTCACATTGCCTGGGGATGAGGCTCGGCTCTCAGAGGCGCTTGATCAACTTTCGCTTCCCCCGATTTTCGTCCAGGGAGTAAAAGCGCAGCTTGGTAGACAACCCCTCCTGGACAACCACTTTCCCAGGGATGAGCTCCTAGCTCTCATTCAAGACACGCATAGAGGCACCCATTGGAAAGTTAGGGGCGCGAATGGATTTGTTGCACCTTCTCTTGGCTCACGACCAGGCGCTGTTGCAGCAACAGATATTTGCAACGCGGTGTTTCGGCAGGTGCATTTGGACATTCGGCAAGGCATCCAGGCCATGGGGCGGTCCTGGCAGGAAGCGTACGGCGCTCCGCTACTCAAGCTCGCAACGGATAGGGATTGGGACACGGCGTTCACGGACCTTTCGTTTGTGGATGATCTCACGGGTTTGTTGCCGCTGGTCAACCCAGCAGAAGTCGCGGGTCCGCTCGCACCCTCGCAGAGAATGTTTTTTTTTGTTTTTTTTTTTTTTTTTTGTGCGCAGCCGCCTCCGCGGGATTCTCGATACATGGCGCCAGAACCAAAGTGCTGGTTTCGCTCGATGGCAAGGGGTCCCGCGTTGCTCTACGCAGTTTACCAGGCAAGGTCATTGCGGACATAACTTCGGAGCGCTGGGGGTTTTCTTTTCCCACCACCCAGGTCCACAAAATACTCGGCAGCCAAGTGTCGGCTGATGGGTCCCTGGGTCCCGACATTCAGGCTCGCTCCGCCAAACCACACCTGGCACTTCGGCCCATCCGTCACTCTGTGGCCCCCCGCGCTCAACTGCCGCTCGCCAAAAAGTCACGTTGGCCGAGACTGTTGCTTCCCGTGTGTTGTTTTTTTTGAGCCCCCGTTTGGACACGTCTTACCGTTGCACAGTTCAGGAAGATTCAAACGACACACCTTGCGGTTTACCGTGTGGCTTCGGGATTGCCCGCCTTCAAAAATGCCGAGCACCATCTCATTAATGCCCAGGTGCTTTTGGATACCAACCGCCTTCCCACTAAGGTCGTTCTTGCGGTTGGGCGTTTGCGTCTACTGGGCAGAGTTTTGAGGCAGGCGCCTCCAGTACTCAGGACACTCCTGGACCTAAATTGGGAGGACCCTTGGGGATGGCCAACACTAGTTCGTGCTGACATGGAGTGGCTACACTTCTTTGCCTCAGAATGGCCAGACCCTAGGGAGGGGGGCGAAGCTTGGATAACCTTGGTCAGGAACGACTCCAGAGGTTTCAAGCGCTCACTCAGCAGGGCCATCGTCAAGGCCAAGCGGTTTCATAGGGACCAAGCGCATCTAGAGGTTTGGCGCCACAGGCTCCTGCAGGCAGAGCTGGCCCCACAGGGCACCGCGGGCCCACCCCCTCCCTCGGACGGATATATTTGTTATGAGTGTGGACATGTTGCTTGCAGCGCGCAACAGCTGAGCGCGCGTGTTGGCAAAGCGCACAAGTCGTCTCTCTCACCCAACAACATTGCAACTGGCACGCTCTGCCAGGCTTGCTTACGTGGTTTTCGCCATGTCACACGTCGGGTTAAACATCTTGCGAACGCTCTTGCTTGCAAAATGGCTCGGCACTCGTCAGGACACCTACCGTCCTCAGATGAACTGTTGCAGGCACGCTAGGAAGCCAGGATTGAAGTTGCTCTCAATAGGAAACAAGGGAGGTCTGATTGTTTCGCTGCGCTCCCTTGGCTCCAATGTCAAGGCCCACCGATTGCTCCCAGACTGCCCGTTACCAGGAGGCAGCAAGCTTTCACTCCCCTTGCTGCCCCCCCTTGCGTAGAGCAGCCTAGGGATGTGGCACCTCGTAGACCCCCCGTACGTCCCCTCAAAGTTGTCTTGCACCTCTTTGGAGGCTCTCGTTTCCAGGGCGACTTACAGGACCACTTCGACAGGATATTGGCGCTCTTTTCCACGAGGTGTGTCGTGCTGAGCATTGGGGGAGAGCACCCCTCGCCACAGACGAATTTCGATGACGACAAATCGAGCGAAGCGTGGCTAGATTTAATCAGATCAGGCAGGGCGGCTGGAGTTGTCGCGACCCCCCCTTCCAGGACCTGGTTCTCAGGTGGCCAGTTGCTTCATCCGAGGGAAGGGGTCCTTAGCCCCCTTCGGGATCCCTGCCGCCCGTGGGGGCTGGGGGCCCTGAGCAGCGCCCAGAGCGAGCATGTTCATTGTGACAACAGGTTGCTGCGCGTTTCCGTTCTTCTGCTTTACGAGGCTTATACATATAACATTCCAGCCATTCTTATTCATCCTGCCCAAGAGGAAGGAGGCGTTTGCTCTCCAAGTGTCTGGACCTTACCCGAGGTCACCTTGCTCGAAAAAATGGAAGGGGTCTCGAAGCACACTTTACATCAATGCGCGTTTGGTGCCAGAGCCCGCAGGCCTACCGTGTTGCTGGCAATCAGGATGCCAGCTTTGGACGCGAGGCTTCAGGACGTGCAAGGAGGGCTGCGTTGCAACCATGCAAGTCATAATGCTAGTAGTATTGACGACCTACCATTTCGGTGGAAAAGGGATGGCGCGGTTCTCAGGCTGCCCTCACAGTTGCTGAGGATGTTGGCCGCCGCCCTCCTGCAACATATTCGCGAGGGATCCCCAGAGGCCCATCAAGCTCTCCGTAGTGGCTTCCCTTGGGGGTCCGCTCCTGGCCCCCCTGGGGCCTTCCCCCTTTCTTGGGACCTTCGTGGGGGGGCGAGGCTCCGTAGGAGGATTGACTTTGGGGTGGGTGTCGAGTGGGAGCTCCCTTTTGGTCTCCGCGGGTTCTTTGTCCCCCTGGACCCCTACTTGGAGCCCTCTCGCACCGACTGCATCACCTATCTTCGCAGGCGCCCACTTAGCACCAACCCGTGGGATATGTGAATCCAAGGTAGGGCTCCCATCTTCCTCCCCCCCTGGACTGCAGCTCGTACCTGGGAAGGACCCACGCGCGAAGGTCTGCCCCAGCCTCGCTGGCTGGCGCCCGTGTCACGCTCACGCTAAAAAGTAGTAGCGTGTGGGAGTTGCACCTCGGGGTGCAGCGCGCCACTGGCAGTGCCGTTGCCTCCTGTGTGAAGGCTCTTATTTGCTTAATTTTCTCGCCTGTCTTGTTTCTTGATTCGCGCGCCCGCGGCAGTAGCGCAGGAGGCGCTTGTGTCTCAGCATCTCACCCTCTCTCGTGATTTGCTCTCTCATCCATCTTCCTTGCCTGCTCTCTCTTCCTGCTCTGCATTGGCTTCGAACCGCCTGCCTCATCGATGAATGAATGAATGAATGAATGAATGAATGAATGAATGAATGAATGAATGAATGAATGAATGAATGAGGAGGAGGGGGGGGGAGAGGAGGCGGCCTGAGGGGCGCGGGCCCAGCCGGGCCCGGCCGCGCCCGATCCGCCCGGGCTTCGGAGGCGGAGAGAGGAGAGGAAACCCGCCGCAACCGCGAGAGGTCGGCCAAGCTCGCGCTGGCGGTGGCGACCTTCGCAGGGCTGCCGGAGGCGAAGAAGGTGAGCGTGCTGGATGATCTCGAGCACGCCGCGGGCCAGGGCTTGCTGAGGCTCATCGAGGAGTTCGACGCCAAGGCCGTCGAGGGGCTCGACGCCCGCGGTTGCCGCGCCCTCGGGGCTGCGGCCGGCGCAGCAGCCCCCCCGGCGAAAGCCTCGCCGGCCGGGCTGGCCGCGGCGGGCGCAGGCGCGCGCCCAGCAGGAGACCGCCTTTCCAAGGCGCCGGGCCGCCCGCGGTTGGACCCGACCCCGAAGCGCACCGCCGCTCTGCGCCAGCCGGCCACCCCCCCGAGGCGAGCCCGCGAGAGCGGCGATCGGGGGCGCGGCCCAGGCCTGGCCCCGCATCGGCAGGGGCGCAGCAGCCGGGGCTCCGCGGTGGACCACGGGCGCGCCGCGCCCGGCGACCGTCGCGCGGCGGGCCACCGCGGCGAGCGCCCGCACAAGGAGGCAGCGGGCGGCAGAGACGGAGGCCGCCGGAAGCAGCAGGTCGCGGCAGGGAGCGCGTCTGTGGCAGGTCGCGGCAGGGAGCGAGCCCCTGGCAAGGAGATGGGCCGGGGCAAGCCCTCGGCAGTGGCCAGCCGCCCCCCCCCCCGGGGGACGGGGGCCCGCGGAGCAGCCGGGGCCAGGAGCGCGGCAGAGATCGCCCCACAGCGATGTGCATCTCGCGCGCCCCCCCCGACGCTTCGACGGACGACTTGAAAGCAGTTCTTGGTCGCCGCGGGCCCCTCGGGTGCATCGGGTGGTTGCTCGACGCCCGCAGGAAGAGGAGGGCGCGGCCCTGGCGGAATCCGGCGGGCCCACCGCCGGAGGCGCTGCTGTGCAAGCCCAGCGCGAGATCGACGATCGGCACGCGTTCCGGGAGGGGCGCGGCGATCCCCGGGCCCGCCTGCGCCCCCGCCAGCGAGCCGAGGAGTCAATCCCCTTCGGACGGGGAGGGGCCCCTTGCCGCTCAGCCCCCGCCCTTCGTCGATTGCACCACGACGCTCAGGTGGAGCTCGGCGGCTGGCGCGAGCTTGGCAGGCTGGCGCTGCACTCTTGGAGAGTCAGCGTGCCTCGGGAGCTCCATGAACGCGGGCGCGCACCGGTGGCGCTGCCCGACGCGCCGCTGCTCGATGCGCGACCACTGCTACCTGCTCCCCGAGACCACCGGCGACGAGCACAGCGAGGAAGAGGAAGAGGAGGTGGGGGAGGAGAAGGCGGCGCCGCACCGCGCGGTGCGCGAGGTGAGGCGCAGCTCCCCGCGCCGCCCCGCCCGGGGCAGGAGCCGCGGGGGTGCGAGGGGCCGGCCAGCCTGCGAGGCGAGCCGCGCGCGCCGCCGGGGAGACGAGGGCGGCGGGCCAGCCCGCGCGGCGAGTCCCTGGCGCGAGAAGGCGCGCAGCGACAGCGACAGCAGGCCTCCGCCCCCCCGCGAGCGGGCGCCCAAGCGGCGCCGCCCCAGCAAACCGCGCCCGCCCCGCGGGGGGAAGCAGGTGCGGGAGAAGAAGGAGAAGAAGCGGCAGAAAGAGTGCGAGGCCGCGGCGATTCCCCGCGCCCGCCTGGACTGGGCCCCCCACGCGGGGAGCGCGCGGAGCAAGGGTCGGGGCGACCAGCCCGCGGCTCCACGCGGCAAGGGGCCGTGCCGGCCCGAGGACCGCGGGAAGGGCGCCAGCCGGCGCGATCCTGCGGTCACCGCTGCTTCGCACAGGAGGGGCTGAGGGGGGCGCGCCAGCGCGGGCCCTCAGTGGACTGGGGCCAGGTGCACCCGCGGGCCCGCGGCGGTGCAAGGCGGGGGCCGGGAGGCCCCAGCCTCCAAGAGGGAGCCACTCTGGCCTTGAGCGGGCCGCGGCCCGGCAGTTTTGCGCGCGCCGCGCCTGCGCTGTGGCCCGCGTTTTCGTCGCGCGCACCCCGCGCGCGGCCAGCGCCCTCGGCCTGCCGCGCTCTCTTCTTTTCTTGCGCGCTCCACGCGCGTTGCCTGCCCGCTTCTGCGCCCGCGCGTGGCCGGCGCTTCCGGGCTAAGGCTTTGCTCGAGCTCTCGCGTTCGCGGGCGCGCCGTGGCCTCCCCGCGGGCGCCTCTTCCGCCACCCTGCCAGGGGGCTTCTAGTTTTCTTGTTTGGCAGCGTGCCGCCTGGCGCACTCGGGAGTCCCGCGTACCCAGCGGCACGGAGGCGGCCGCCCTAGGCGGGGCGTGCCACGCCTAGCCCGCGCGGCGCGGCTGGCCAGCCCCGGCAGCTGCGCCCCCTGCGTCGCGGGCCAGAACGTGCTGCCTGCGGCCGCCCGGGCAAAACATCCCTCTCTCTAGTCCTTGTCTTGCATGCCTCGTCCCCCCTCCTCCGACATTTCGCTCCTCCTCACTTCGTGCACGCAGGCTCACGCTTAACTTACTAGTCTGTCCCTGGTAAAACTGCAGGTTAAGGGGGGGGGAGGCGGGCACTTCATTTTGGCTCGCAGCCACAGGGTTCGAGCCGCTGCAGTTGCCCACCCACCCACTACCAAGCTCCCGCTCGCGGCCCTGGTCCCGACCGGGGCCAAGGGGCCGCGTCGCGGGCCAGAACGTGTTGCCTGCGGCCGCCCGGGCAAAACACTCTCTCTCTAGTCCTTGTTTTGCCTCGTCCTCCCTCCCCCCCCATTTCGCTGATCCTCACTTCGTGCACGCAGGCTCACGCTTAACCACTTATCCTGCCTATTAGCCTGCTGCTCTTCCTTCTCCCTCTCCCCTCCTCCTCCCTCCTCCTCCTCCTCCTCCTCCTCCTCCTCCTCCTCCTCCTCCTTCTGCTCCTCCTCCTCCTCCTCCGCCTCCTCCTCCTCTTCCTCCTCCTCCTCCTCCTCTTCCTCCTCATCATCATTCTTCTCCGTAGCCATTTTGGCTCAAGCCTGCCTTGGGCGCCAGGCGGGCGGCAGCGCTGGGGTCTCCCAAGGGGGTGGCTGCGGGCGGGAGCAGGGCAGCTGACGCGGCGGCGGAGCTCCCCGAGACTGCAGCGGCTGCGACGTCGCCGTGGCCGACGCGGCGTGCCAGGCAAGCCGCTGCACGCGGGGCTGCGGTTGGGCGCCTGGCGGCGGCGCTGCGGCGGCTCCTCGACCTGGAGGCGTTCGTGGTGGGCTTGCAAGCCGACCTGGGCCACGCGGGGGCGGCGGGCGAGGCCGCGGCCCTTGCTGTCTCCTGCGCCGCCTCGGCCCCCGCGCGCGGCGGAACCGGGGCTGATGGAGTGGGGGCCGCCCACAGTGCTCCCGATCCGACGGCCGCGGCGGCTGAGCTCGTGCAGCGCTTGGCGATCGTCGCGCCCGTGCTGAAGGCGGACATCGACGGCGCGGATGCGAGCGCCATCGAGGTGGAGAGGCGCAACGTGGTGTCCCACCACCCCGCCCTACCCGCCGCGGTCGCGCGCGCATTGTCTCAGCGCGAGCTCGATCGAGTTCAGCGTGAGGCGCGGCGCGCACACATGCGGGGGAGACGCAGCATGCCCTGCGGGGGGCAGTCGGCGCTGGCGCCGAGGGCTCCAGCAGGCCGGCGGGCTGCGGTGCCGCTGGGGAGGCCCAGACCGTCGACTTGGTGGCCTTGACTGCATCGGCGGCTGCCAGCGGCTTGCTCGGCGTTCGACGCGGCGCCTACTACCTGGGACGAGGTGGCGGCGAGGCGCGGCCGCGTTGCGCTGAACGCCCCGCCCTCTGCAGGTGCAGCGCGCCGCGACGCCACCGCGCCGCCGCCGCCACCGCGCCGCCGCCGCCGCGGCGCCGCGCGGGCAGGCATGGCCCCCCCCGGGCGCCGTCGCCGCCACTGGTTTCGAGCGGGGCGCGCTGGTGGGCTTGGGAGGTCGAGGTGGTCGAGCGGCGCCGACCTGGAGTCCGACCCCGTGCTTGCTGGACTCCACGGCGGTGCTGCACAGGAGGAAAGGAATGGCGGTCACCCTGCTCTTGGAGCACAGGGGGCGTCGGCCCATCCCGCTGGAGTCGGCGCGCGCGCAAGTGGCGCTGATTATGACGATGATGACCTTCAAGGACGTCCTGGCGAGGATGCTCTTCGGGCCATCGTGAATGCTGCGGCGCTGGAGGCCGACGCGTCCTGCCACGCGCTGGAGTCGGAGCGGATCGCCGACGGCGTGGGCGAAGGGCGTCGAGGTACTGGAGTGCTCCCTGCGGGGCCGGCCCCAGGATAGCCTCCGCGATGCTCGACGAGCGCGCGGTCGTCGGCGAGAGGCGGCGCCTCGTGGTGCTGCAGAGGTACATGTTCCAGACCTGGGCCATCGCCGACCGCGAGCGGCACAGGGCTCAGGTCGCCAACATGGCGAAGGAATTGGAGCAGGCGATGGCGGCCCAGCGGGCTCACATCGCCGCGAAGGCCAGGCAGGCCAGGGCGGCGACGCGCGGGAGGTGAGCGAGGGGCGGGCCCTCGCTCTGTCTGCTGCGTCCGCCTCGAATTTTTGCGCGGCGCCCCTCGGCATGGGTTTTGGGGGCCGCCGCGTTCCCTCGTCCGGATGCCTGCCTGGGTTGCTTCGGGGTCCTTCCCTCGTTGCAGCGCCGCCTGCGCGGCGTGCTCGCAGCGGCGCGGGACCGACCACCGCCAGGGCCTCTTCGATGATGCTCCATCCATCCATCCATCCTCCTCATCCTTCTCTTCCTTTTCTCAGTCACTTTAAGGGTAGCTCTTTGGGAGATGTCACAGTATCGGGAGCATAGCTCGCGCGCCGCTGCCTTGGGCTCAAGGCACGCGCGCCCTATTTGCCCGGACACCGCGAGTGTTCGCTATGTGCTGGAAAGATCATTACATCGATCTTATCCTATCTTACCCATCCACCCCTCATACTGTACCTTCACAGCAGAGCGATGGATGCAATTTGCCAGGCTATATGCCCTATTTGAGTTACCAGGCTCACTTTCGACTTGGTAGCGGAGCTGGCCGCACTCTCGTGTGGTCAGCTCTTGCTCTTCTTAGCCTCATATTCTTCGGCACGATCTTCGTGACCACCTACCACCCTGCGCCACCACTCCCAGTACGTTTACGAGGATCTATTCAAGAGCAAGAAGCAACACGAGAGGTACGACGTCTAGACGACCAAACCGGTACCATATACGCTTCATCATTGCGTTACTACCAACCGCTCGGCAACGAGCTAACAGCGCAATACTTGAAGCAAGGGCGGGGAGACCCGCCAGACAGAGCGCCTCGAAGACTCGACAAGGCGCTACCCCAGCGCGACAACGCGCATCATAACCGTCCTTCGTTACACATTCTCGGGCTAATCGTTTTCGCTATCATATGGTTCGCGCTGGGGGCAGCAATCGGACACATGCGTCGTGGAGATAACAGCACCGATGGGCAAACACATGGCCCATATTGGGACCCTCAAGGTAATGTACCTTTTCGTGAGTACATCTACGAGGTCAACGCATGGCTCAACGTTACAAGCGGACGTATGACGCCACAGGCCCAAGCGGCCGCAATACAACGCGGCCTAGGTGGCCTAGCGAGGACACTCGCCATGAGGGTACCGCCTGACATTATAAACTATGGTGCTGACATTGATGGGGTCCACACAGACCCAGTAACTTACATCATGTTCCTCCTCAGCATGAAGTTCGAACGCCTGGAAGATGAGCGACAGCTCACTTCCGGCACACAACTCATCGACTTCCATGTGCCTCACGGGGAACGAATCGATGTCACTCTTACCCGATTCGAAATGGCCCGACTTGAGGCACAGTCGGTGGGATTCGACCTTCCTAACTTCCAACTGCTAACCACTATCCTATTCCGCGCCTTAGGCGTCGGCAACCAGAAAGCCATGCAACTCTTACAGCCACTCAACCACCAAATGCCTCGAACACAACAACAGTATGATGAGTTGCTGGAGAGGATGCGTTCGATAGGCCACCTATCCGAACGGTCTCCTGGTAACATAGGATCTGTGTTTGGAAGGGGAAGGGGATCTGGTAGTGGAAATTTCTACACTACCTTGACCACTGAAGCCCAGCCTGGAAACGGGCCCTCAAGCATATGGGCCGATGACCCAGGAGAATCCACTGCTTTATTAGCAGGGGATCGATCACAACCAAGCTGGGCAACCAGCCCTCCTTCTAGAGAACCACAACCACACCGCTCGTTATGGGGGGAATCAAATCCCCTAACCGACGGTGTATCCACCTATTTAGGAGACGAAGACTTCGACTCCGGCACCGATACAGACACTATATCATCGGATGGTGTTGAAGCTCTAGATTGGTCAGATATCATGAATATGGATAACGACAATCAGCGTGCTGAGCATTTATTCTGGCTGTTACAACAGGCCAACCGAAGGCGGAGGAGGTTCACACGAAAATCAGTGCGTCGTGTTAGAAGGAGGACGCGCAGAAGTTTTAAAGGAAAGGGTAAAGGCAAGCGTGGTCGTCGGAGGTTGAACGGGCGAGGTATCGCGGCATTTCTCCAGAGGCTCTCAGATGAACAACATGATGAGATATTCTTTGGGGGAAAAGGCCGTGGTAAAGGCCGTAGAGAGACCTCAGGTAAAGGTAAAGGTAGGCGGGGAAACCCGCGAGGTAGAGACGGCCAGGTTCTCAAATGCCATGAATGTGGTAGTTCCGATCATCTTGTGCGAGATTGTCCAGCGAAGGGAAATGGAAAGGGCATGTCGTCCGAAGTCCATTTTGGCTCAAGTGCACCATCCATTGAATATCTGAGCCTCCAGGACTTTGAGGCTATGGAACAGATATTTTTCACTTGGGTAGTTGGCATGGACAACATCGACGAGCTCGAAGGGTATGGTCATGGATTGTACGCGTACTACCTCGAGTACGTCCGCCGGTTCGTCACGGGCAGTAGCGAACTCACTCCCGTGGAACACGGTACGCTTGGAAACGAGCCTCTTTCATTCTTCGACTGGATGTTCGGGAACCCAGGCAACATCATGGCTTACGAGAGTGACGACGAGGACACCACTATAGAGGCTTCGCCTTCCGAGGTTCAACGAAACCTTGAACCTCCGCCCGAAATCCCGCCTGGAAACAGGCCTTCTTTGATGGGAGAATATCCCCAGACCACTGAAGACTTAATTGAAATGGAGTTTCAGGCATTTGTTCAGGCCTTCATTGCAGGCGAACCAGATATTCCGTTCATACCTCCTGGTTCGCTTGCTCCAGGCGAATATGGACCACGTACCCTTTTGCAGACCCTCATGAGGATGCATGATATACTTACAATTGGTTATCCTGAGAGTCAAGAACACATCGAAGCTGGCATCATGACAGAACAGGATAATGATGCTTGCGGTAGTTCAGAGCTACTTTTGGCAGCTCTGACTCTCATTGACAGCGTGTATCCTCAGGAAGTGCAGAGACACTTGATATACTCCCGTGGTAGATGGCGTCGTGCTCTGGAAATGGCGATGGCTATGCGCGGTCATGATCTTCCTCCGCCAGGATGGGGTCTCCAGGCGGTGGGAATGAGGCCGAACCATACGGCCATGCGTAACATTGCTGGGCAGCCTATGCTCGGCGACGAGCCTGAGCCGACAACAATGCCTCCTACTCCGGGACAGCCGAGCGACGCCCAGACGCCGGCTACGCAGGGAAACCTGCCTGTACCAGATACGGCAATGGCCATCATCATTGGTAGTTCGACGTCAGAAGAAGTAGATGGCGACGGCTGCGGGTTAGATGAGGATGATGTCACCATCCTCATGATGGACGTGAATGGTGAGGAAGAGGTCGATTTCGACCCTGATGAGTCTGAATCATCATCACCATCGGCACAAGCGCCACTTGCGCCGAGCTCCACCCAGCAGGGAGACCTGCCTCCATCGGACGATCCATCTGGGATCGCACAGGAGCCTCCTCAGGCACCTCCACCGGGTGCCGCTCCTGCTGCATCGGCAGCTTCCTCTGATGAGAACACCAGAAGATCTCGTTCCCATACGCGCGTCAGAGAAGAGCCACATCCCCAGGCTCGACTTCCTCGTGAGTGGAGACAGGCTGGCCCAAAAGAACACGCTCTCAGGAGAGGTGGCCAGCTACTTCCGCACAACGACCCAAGACGCCGAAAAGGGGAACACTCGGCCTTTGGCCAGGGCAACCCTGCCTATAGGGACAGTGATGGCAAGCCCATCCGCGGAGGCTATCAGCTTGCAACAAACACCCGCCGCCCTGAAATTCAAGAAGTGCGGACTCAGTAACGAGATATTATCGCGGCGCAAGTATAGGCCTCACGCGGCATGCGGACCTTGTTCCCAGCCGTTCCAGAATCACAGGCCAGGATGCCCCGTTGGCAACAACGAAGGCCTGAGTCCCAACAGGGGCAAAACCCCTCCTAAAGAGGGCCATCCGCCACTTATCCCGATGACGCAAGACGAGATCGCGGAAGTGAATCATCGTCTCGGGATCTTGGGCCACTTGGATCCGAAAGAAGAAGAAAAGCCTACCCCGGTTCCAAGGGGACTGGTAGCCATGACCCAGGAAGAGAAAGACGCGCTCTTCAGTCTTCCTAGCATGCGAGGAAACTCGCCTGGCGTCTCTAGCCAGTCCCAACAACCAGAACCGACAATCAAGGATGAGATAAAGGCTCAACGTGTGGCGGAGGATGAGGAGCGTATGCGGACAGCAGAAGACCGCACTCGCGAGGCAACTCGCAAGATGTTGGAAGATTCTAGTAAGATCTACATGAAGAGGGCTACAAGGCCCCCACTCCCACTAACTTCGAAGGCCAAGAGTGAACCCCCGACACCTAAGCCGTCCCCGGTGCCGAAACCGAAGACGAGCCCTCAGGACCCTGGGCCAGACGTGCATATGGAGGTGCCTCGATCTGCGACGCCGAAGCCGCCGATTGGCGCAACTCCTCCACAAGCGTCTGTGCCCAAGCAGCAACCTCAGGACCCTATGGAGGAACGAAGACGCCCGCTTAGTCGCAGCAATTCCATTGCGAAAAGGGCGGCAGCTTTCGAGCGCAGTGGGTATGCACCTGCGCCAGCTTCGCCTGTGGCGGCTCGTTCCAGGAGGTCCGATGAAGGAGCTATGTCGAGGGGTACCTGGGCGCCGAAGATCAGGGGCAGCGTCAGTCGCGCATCTCCGCGGGGAAACCCGCCAGGCGCTGCCGCCGCAGCTTCCTCCTCTTCTGGAGCCGCAGCCTCTTCAGCAACAGAGGCTCCGATGCGGGGAAACCCGCCAGTGGTTCAGCTGCACCACCCAGGTGACACGTCCTTCACTAGTGGGACTCCAAATGTGATCAGGGATAGACTTGCGCTTCGGAAGCTCCCACCGATACGCTCGGTGGATGAGACATTCATGAAGGAATGCAGGAAAGCTGGAATCCTTCCCACATCCAATGATATTCTCAAACAGCTGAGCAAAGCTCTCAGCAGGATATGCAGACATGCGCCAGACAAGCAACACAGTCCTGTGTGGCGCTTGGAATCTTTCGATGATCATGATGGTTGGGT